GACGCGCACGTTCCCGCTGGGCAGACACGGGCGCCCGCCCCGTCGAATCCCGGGGACCCTGTGCGGAGCCGGCTCGCCAGACCCTTCTGCAGCACGGGAGGCATCCGTCAGTGGAGGGCGCCTCGCTTGTTTCCCCCCTGCAACTCCGACTGCTCCAGCCATCTGGGTACGCAGAGCTCCCACAGATGCACCACCAAGCACGGTGAGGCTGACACAGATCACCTGAGTCGCCGTGGCCTGCGAGGGGCTATCATCGCACACTGGAAAAAGGAAACCAGACGGTCGGAAATAGTCGCGCCCTCAACCTGACAGCAGCAGCAGAGCTGAGATGCAAGCCTGGGTCTGCTGGGTTCCCAGACCCACAGGCTTCCTTCCAGACTGCCTCCCCAGAGCGTCGCAATGTCTTAGACGTACGACTCCTGGGATCTTAAGGCGCTGCTTACTTTAGGTATCACACTTGCCTTACTTTTTAAAAAAAGGTTTATTTTAGAGACAGTGTCTAGCTTTGTTGCTCAGATTGGAGCGCAGTGGCACAGCCCACAGCTCACGGTAGCCTTGGACGCCTGGGCTCAAGCCATCCTCTTGTCTCAGCCTACCAAGTACGTGGGACTACAGGTGTGTGGCACCATGCCCAGCTAACTTTTTTTTTTTTTTTTTGAGTCGGAGTCTCACTCTGTCACCCAGACTGGAGTGCAGTGGCCGCGCCCGGCCACCGCAGCCTCGACCTGCTGGGCTCCGGCCATCCTTCCGCCTCAGCCTTCCAAGTAGCTAGAACTACAGGCCTGCGCTACCACGCCCGGCTCATTTTTGATTTATTGTAGAGATGAGGTCTCGCCAAGTTTCCCAGGGGGTTCTTGAACCCGCGGGCTCAGGCATTCCACTCACCTCAGCCTCCCAAAGGCAAAGGATTACAGGCTGAACCACTGAGCCCCAGCTAAAGGTTTTTTTGGTAGAGAAAGGTTCTTGCTATGTTGCCTAGGTTGGTCTCAAACTTCTGCCCTCAAGCAACCCTCCCACCTCGGCCTCCCAAAGTGCTGGGATTACAGCATAAGCTACCATGCCCAGCCTATCTTTTTTTCCCACTAAATTTGATCTTCCTCGAGGTACTATGACATATTGTTATAATTCTCATACTGCATGACACATACTAAATGTTCAATAAATGTGCATTAAATGATAAATAAAAAATCTTTACTTAGTTCAATATTTCTAGAATTCAGTAATTTTACACTCACAGGTTTCAACAGTCATAAAATGATGAGTATATATATATACATATATATATATGTATATATATATATTTCCGCATTAAGTTCAAGGAATAAAAGCAGTCTAATTCCTGAAAAAGCAGCTTTTCTACTTAATTATTCCACGTGTTTAAACTTCCTACAAACATAGTAGTAATTGTTCTAAACATTGTAAAGTTGAGTCGTACACATTATTTTTACCAGTACGTACCCTCCAGAAAGTGCCCTTGCTTTTTTTTTTTTTTTAAGTGAGAAAGCAGGATTTATTGAGAGGACAGAAAAGTTCCCACAGTGGGAGGGGACCTGAAGGGGCTGCCCATGCCCTCGTTTTCGTGAGGGCCTCCCATTACTCCCATGACACCCTTGCTAGGCGATCCTCATCTTCATTCATGGCCTTGACCACCACCGAGATGTCAGCACGTCCCAATTCAGCTCCACTCTATGGCAGTGGCTGCCATGTGTTCACTTCCGCCCACCCCCTCCCCCAACAGAGCAAGATTATACCTGCCATCCCTTTGCAGCCAAGCAGGGCTGTGATTCCAAGTCTGGCCCAGGGGTGGGGGAGGAGGAACACGCTCCACTTTCAGGTCTGGCCCCTCGTGGCCCCACGCAGCCTTCCTGTGAAGTCCTTTTCTCTGTTGACCAACGGAGCACAGAGAGGCCACGGCCCTGGCGTCAGAGAGCTATATGAGGGGAGGAGCTGGGGCCCTGAATGCCTGTGTGGAGCTGAGCACCCCACCTTCAACCCACTTGGGGCTGTGCCATGAGCAAGAAAAAGCTCCTTGGGCAAAGTCTTGCAGGAAAGAGATGAGCACAGGAAAGAACTGATCAGTGCTCAAGGGTAATGAGAGCCAACAAAGGCAGCGTGGAAATTTGAGGTTTTGAAGGACTGAGGGGAAACACAGCTTCTAGACACCAGATAATAAGAGGCAGAGCTAAAAAAGGGCTTTGAACAACAGAGGCCCAGAACATTTTCTCAGTTGCATAAAGCGACAGAGATCGAGGGTGACGTCTTCTGCCTCAGGTGGCTGTAAGGCAACTGAGGCCACATCCAAGTCCCAGCAGCACTGTCCACAACAGCTAAGAAACGGAAGCAACCCCAGGATACATCGATGAAGGAACAGATGGAGAAAATGTGTGTGTACATTCCACGGACAATTTCTCAGCCTCAGAAAGAAACAGACTTCTAATATGTGTGACAACATAGATGAACCCAGAGGACGACACCACGCTAAGTTAAATGAGCCAGTTACAAAAAGACAAAGACTGTATGACTTAACTCATCTATGAAATATCTAAAGTAGTCAAGCTCACAGAAACAGAAAGCAGAGTGGTGGTTGCCAGGATGGGAGGAGGAGGAGCAGGGTCGTCTGGTGGATGCAGAGTTCCGGGCTGCAAGAGGAAGAGAGTTCTGGAGGCTGGCTGCACAACAGGGCAACAGCGCTCGACACCACAGAACCGTGCCTCCAAATAATTAAGATGGTGTGCATTTCTTTTTGCCCCATGCACACACAGGGGGGCAGGGGCTGTTATGGGCTGACCGTCTGTGTCCCCTTCCAATCCATATGCAATGGCATTGGGAGGTGGGACCTGGGGATGTAATTAGGTTCAGAGGAGGGATGACTGGGGAGCTCGCTTGGTGTCCCACACGCACAAGAGCCAGAAAGAACCTTTATTGTGTTAAACCATTCACTGTTACAGCAGTTAGCCTACCCTGATTAATTTGTAGGGCTATCTCTCTAGCAAGCTCCAAATCTTTTGGTGATGTAAAACCTACCCCAAAACGACATTGGAGTGATTTTCTCACCCAAAGGAGTCGGGCCAGAAAACAGCCTGTGATACAACATGTACATGGTAGTTTCTAGAACGTCTGGCATTTTTAAATGAGCAGGGCCCCCGTTTTTAAAACCTGTTTAGCACCAAGAGAAAAGGCGCACACAACGCACACAAAACTCAGTGAAAC